GTAATACGATACTAATAAGTGAATATTACATGCGTTATTATTGGATACAGTTAAGTAAAACATCCGTTTTATTAAAATCATGTTTATTTTAAATACAGCTGTAGTATTTGACAACAGTAAATGGATATATAGTTTGGTCAACAGTGTAGTCAAAGCCAGAAATACATATGCTAATTTTATATCTCGTGTATGATACGACCTCCTTAAAATTAGCTTCAAAATTAGGTCTTCAAAAGTAACATGATGTGTGAGCATATACAGTAATAAAGAAATGAAGGCTGAGAGACTCTCCACTGTTATGAAGACCCAGAGAGATTAACTATGCCATTATTATCATCCCAATATGGCAATCTAAAGACAATTTACATCAAAGCTCTTCCATTTAGAGAAAGAAAATTACCCTGACAAAATTCTATTCAGAAAGAGGGTCAAGTCTTGAATGCAAGTTAAAACTTGGAAATTTTTTTTTATTAATCATCAATCATGACAAAAATGAAAAAAAAATGTTATGTTTAAATCCTTGATTCTATAAATTTGTTTTTCCTAATGTCTGTATTTTTCTAAGCTTGATAACGTCACTCAGTTTTACAATGATAGCTGCTTTAAAGTTTGCTCTTTCCTCTCTTAATGTCCTGCAGGTACAACAATTGCTGTTATAAATTTTAATTTTTTTTTATATATAAGAGGGGAAGAAAAAAAATGCCATAAAAAAAAAAAAAATGTATATACACAAAGGCAATATTCAAATGTCCATGTTGCAAAAAGGTGTTTATGTTTTATAATAGTTTTTGATTTTATTTTATCAAAACAGAAATCAGATAGCCATTTTTAAAATATCTGTATATGGTATGTGTGCGGGTGACATGAAATGGGCAGGTTCCATAAGTCAGCCAATAGAAAGTTCACAAAGAGTCGGGGGAATGGATTATGAATGGCAAAATTTTGCTTATTATTATTATTTATTGCTACAAAAAAATATGGCAAGTTGGCATGAGGCCTGTTTATATTCTTTGTCAAATCAGCTCAGAATATTGTCAAAAATTGACAAAAAAAAAAAAAGGCAATGTTTTTATTTTTTCATAAAACAATCTGAGATAACCTTTACAGTTATTTCCAACTTTGGCCATTTTGTTTTATTAGCAAATATTATTTTGCAATATGGAAACATTTGAAGTTTAATTTTAAGAAAAAACTTTGGCAATAATAAAAAAATAAAAAAAAAAAAAAAAAAAAGACATCAAATTGTGAGTTTTTTTTCTTTTTATAATTTTTTTCTTTATCCAGTATAACAATTTACATAAAAGAAACATTGTTTTATTGGTTTTTGACAGTCCATTTCTCAAGGAGGGGGGGGAATTTAAAAATACAAAAAAAATTTTAAACCCCAAGAAAACTGACCTTCACAATCTATTCCCCTTCCTCCTCCCCACAATTCTTTCATACACAATAACAATAGCAGCAGTCCTTAAGAGGCAATAACACAAAATATTTTGTTTTGATTATTCATGAAGGTATCAGTTTATCCGAGGGGAGATGTTGGCTTCTTTTTGTTTGTTTTTCTCTTAATGTATATCACTTTGAAAAATAATTTGTTGAGCTGAAGAAAGCAGTTTTCCTCTACTCCCACAACTTAACGTCTTTCTACTTGCATATAAATAATGAATGTGTTGCATGTGTATGGGAAATATGTGTACACACACACAAGCATTCGATATTGTTGATTTTACAAGTATGCACACAGACTGAATATGGACAATTTGCCCAAGGTCTAAACAGTTGCTCACAGGTACAAACAATCACAATTACTCCAAATATAGAAGCATTTTTTTTTTTTTACCTGATGTGCAATACTGTCTTATACAGATAAACACACACACCCAAACACACTATGTATATTGATCATATCACTTACATATTCATGTGTACACACAGTGAGAATGACACGATTATAGGAGAGAGAAAAGTGTTATGTATATATAAAGTCCCATTGAGGCAGCCATGTGGAAAGTCAGAACACTAAGTTTCAAGAAGCGAAACACGCACTCAATAAAGAGACATTGGTTTTTTTTTGGTTTTTTTTTTAAAGAGAGGAGATGGGAGCAATCTGATAAAGTTCTAGACCAAATATTTTTTTTTCATTTACCCTATGATTTTTTTGTTCCTTAATAAATCACTTATGCATGTATTTTAAACAAATTTCTCTTTTTAGCAAAATATTTTTGAGCAGACACAATTTGGACACTATTTTTTTTTTTTTTTTTAAAGAAAAATGCTGAGCAGGAAAATAAAAAAAAATTTCTAAAATCATGTTAGAATTTTCTTAAACTTTGTTCTTTATTTTTTTTTTTTATTTAATTTCTTTTTCTTGAAAAACAAGTGGGAGGGGGCAGAGTTACATTTTATAGCTAAATGAAGAAATGATATTGAAATAGTTTCATCATCTCTATCAGAGACAAAATAATGTAACAACAGAGTTGTTGAATATTCAAAGTAGACAATAAAATGAATAGGCTGTGAAAGGATTGATATTTTAATAGGAGGAACGAAAAAAGATCCTGTGATCATCAAATTCATTTAAGTTAAGCATAACTTCATCCTGTTTATTTACATACCTAAGACTATGAACATTTCTTAAAATAAAGTCTTCATTAAAGAAATGAATATAGTTCAGTAATATAAATTTACATAGAATAAAATAATGATTTCATAAAGAAATAGTTGGTTTAATATATGAGCTGAGAGACGTTCATATAAAAATATCAACACAAACCTTAGAGTATATGATAATGTCAATGTATTATTTGCCATTGGTAAACTTAGTCAAAGATGTTTAAGCAACAACAAAAATACAAATTTAAAGGTGAAAAAATGTTAAGACACAGACAAATTGCAATGTCAGTTTTTTTTTTTTTTTTTTTTTTTTAAAATGTTTATGGATAAAGGCACTTGGATGTGTTTTTTTTTTTATTATCCTGATGTCCAAATCATCAAAATCTTCATTTTTTTTTTCCCCCATCCAAGTATGTGCCTGAATTCATAAAAAAACTTTAAAGAAAAGAAATATTGTCATCAAACAGTAACTTTACCTAATCTTTTCACCTACCTATTTATTGCATGCTTACAACAAACATACATATATAGTTACAAAAAAATAATATTGAAATTCTTAAAATCCCATAAAAATCTCATAAAGATTATTTTAAAGAAAATGAATTTAAAAAATAGTAAAAGAAGCTAATTCTTAAAATAAAAATGAAAACATCTCACCAGTCCATTCACATATCCAACCTTTGTTTTTAGGGGGTTAATGTTTTTATATCTTTTCCCCTGAAGCCCTTCTGAAAATGTCTGCCTAGCTAATATAAAGTAAACAGACAATTTATTTTTTTAAAAATTCGAAAATGACTCAAAGAAAATGAACACATATTTAAATATATATCTTTGAATGCGTGTATGCCTTGTTCTCTTGTCGCAGTTTACATACCCAAGCTACTCTCTCTAGTACTGATAAATATCTACGGCTGTAGCAGCCAAATTTATCTACCTATTCCATCACTCGCTGTTTCATATGAACTCAGTCATATGAAAAGCGTCTTTTGTGGAAAAAAACAAAGGGGAAATAAACGCCGCAAAAGAGTTCCACAGTCAAAATTAAATCAGAGTTATCTTTCTTGACTTATTTTTCATTTTTAAGTCAGGTTCAGGCAGCAAGGGCTGGAAAGAGGACGGTTTAAAAAGAAACTTTATTCATTTATATTTTATATATATATATATATATATATATATATATATATATATAACACGGAGATGGAACAGCAGCATATCATTTATCTGAAATACCGTGGTTCATACAGAGGACATCTTGGTGGAGTTAGTTTTATAGAGGGATGCACACACGTACATATGTTGATGTAATGAATTGGTAACATGAACCTTTGAAAGGAGTGTAATAGGGAAGTTTCTCTTGTCTGTATAAAAAAAGTATTTTTACTTAATGAAAAAAAAAACCAAAAAAACTGGCTCATTTAGAAAAAAAAATCTGATTATATTTGTAATTTTTTTTTTCCTCCCTGCAAGAAGTTACCTTCAAAAATATTCACCACGCAGTTGTACGCAAAAAAAAAAAAAAAAAAAAAAAAACGTTGCATACAATTGGTTTCTGAAGAGTGTAATACGACTGACATTACAGTGCATGGAAGTACGTTTTGGCTTGCCTGTTTGGTTGGATAATTGAATGGATGGAAAGATGGATAACTGGACATGAGAAAAAGGAGAAGAAAAAAAAGGAAAAGGAGAAGAAAAGGAAAAGGAGAAGAAAAGGAAAAAAAAAAAAGGAAAAGGAAAAAAAGGAAAAGGAGAAAAAAGAGGAAAAGGAGAAAAAAGAGGAAAAGGAGAAAAAAGAGGAAAAGGAGAAAAAAGAGGAAGTGGAAGGTAATAGAGGAAAAACGAAAAGTAAAAGAGAAAAAGGAATGAAAAGAAAAGATATAAAATATGAAAAGTAAAAAAGGTAGAGGTGGATTGTTTCTTTAAATTATTAAAATAACTTCTAATTTATAAAAAAAAAAAAAAAAAAAAAAGTAGGTAACTAAAATTATTTCAGCCAAAAAGCATTTTTAATTAACAAAATCCCTAACAAAATTAGAATCATTTTTTTTTAATTGCTAATTCAAAAGAATTTTTGAATAATTAAAAAAATAAACTGGAGAAGAAAGAAATACATGTCAAATTGTAAATGAACCTATCATTGTATAGCTATCAAGAATAAAAAGAATCGTTTAAATTTATGATCACAGGATCAAATCTCTATTCCTGCTCCTTGTATTTTTTTCCTCAATACATCTGATACAGACATACACAAACATATAATATGTGTGTGTGTGTGTGTATATATATATATATATATATATATATAAATTATACACACACAACAAATATGTGAGTATAATTGTCTAAGATAAAGGCTAGTTGACAGTGAACCCAAGTATGTTTCAATCAGCTACTCACCAAGAGAGAGCTCCAGGTAATGTAGAATGCTCCGCCTTTTCTCTATTATCCAGATCATTGTCTACTAAACTACCAATGGCAGATTCACTGCCCAGTTCCACAGGTTTGCCAGTTCCATTCACATCGATTTGTGGCACTTTGGTACTTCCATTGGAGTCTGCAAACCCTGAATCATCCATACCAACAGAATGATCAAAAGAAACTGATAACCTATTTAGAGATTTTTGTTTGTCCACATGGTTGCCCTCGGCTGTGTCAACATCTTTGTCAGCATCACTCTTTCGTCTGCCAACGTCCTTGGCACTGTAGATGTTATCACTAATCGGCTGATCCAAGCTTTCTTGGCTCGAACCAAGTTTCTCTGTGGAACTCGTCTTCAGCAATCTGTTGCCAAGATTAGTCTTGGACTTCCCAAGAATATTCTGTAAGATGGGGGACTTAAACTTGGGGCTACCCTCTGTGCTGGAATCGTCAGCTCGCTTGTCCATCAGTTGCTTCAGCAATGGGGACTTGAATTTGGTTGAGCTCTTCTCCTCATCTCCCGAGGAACGCACATCCTCCTGGGATGAGGCCTTGTTCAAATTATCAATAGTGGGTGCAGATTGGTGCAGATCTTCCTCGGGTTTCTCATCAGGTGATATTTCCGTGGAAGAGTTGCTGCTTCTGCTTGGCGAGCTCTGCAGAGACTTGGAAGGAGAGTCTTGCTGGAAATGAAAAAAAAAAAGGAAAAGAAAAAATTTCTTGTGAGCAATTTGTAAAAAGAATTGTCAGAGAAATTCAAATTGTGTAAAGTCACAAATTCCAATTTAAGCCTATCCCATGGAAAGCAGGTTGGTTTGCTTGCCAACTTTAAAAAGTGATAGAACTACAAATAATGGCTTAAATTGTTTGAAACTCATAAGATTATTCTTATATTTTATCTTAAATTTTTATAAAGTCTGGAACTAGAGATGGCATCAAATGCAAGAGTTTCAAAAGTAAATAAACCAAATTCTTTCATGCTTTATTTTACACTATAAAGAATTCATGCTGAATGAATTTTGAAATATTTGTGTACTGGAGTCATAAAGTACTTGCATTGAAAGGCTTAAAGAAAGATTTTATGTAATTTTCTAAAATTAGAAAAATCTAGCCAGCAAAAATATGCTGACATCAACAAAAGGCATATTTACTACAATCACACTTACCTTTAGAGTAACTCAAAATTTATTCCACAATCTATTTTTAGTAAGATATCTAGAGTTTTAAATCAATAGTTCAAACACAAATAGAGCAATATCAATTAAAACTTATGTAGGTGCAAAAAAAGCACCCCAGCTTCCTAAGACAAGGTTAACTACCTACATCAGAATTTTTAAAATGAGGAATTATTGCATGCCTTACCATTGAGATCAACAAAAAAGCATGCTTGGCAACAGAGAAAGATATACAGTAACAAATTACCTGATAAGGCAGAAAAAGACATGGCTCTCATCAAACTAACTAGCTGTTTGTACAAAGTCTAAAATCACAAATAGGATTTTTTAAATAAATGTAAAAAATATTTTTCACTTATGATTAAATGTATGGTGACACAATATGTCATGAAATGCAAAAGCTGTCAAGTGTCTCAAAATACCTCAAGTGGAATTCATATATACAATCCATCGCTAAAGATGCTGAAAAAATGGTTGATTCCTTGTACCGATCCAGTAAATATCAGACTCTACCTGCTGCTATGCTCTATCTTTATAAGAGTCAGATCAGGCAAAAAAAAAAAAAAAAAAAAAAAAATGGAGTGCTGCTATCATACCTGGGCTGGAGTTTCCCAGTCCTCACTTGCCAGTCTTGATAGAATTCAAAAGTGTCTATGCAGCTTTGTGGGTAATGAATTATTTTCCACCTCTTTTCCTGCAGATGAAATGTT